TCGCCCGCCTTCCTTGATCAAAGGTTTATTTTATCCAGTCCATATGCTCCCAGCCCTCCTGCTAAATGAAACAACTTTGAGCTTAACTGGGAACGAACGCAGAATTCTGAGTTGTGACTGCTTTTTAAAAACTTGCTTTCTCCACTAAACCCTTCAGCGCTTTGTAAAGGCACCTTTGCATCGCCTGAGGAGTCTGCAGGAGGGTATCAAATGTGCTGGATAACAGAAGCATGTTATACAGGCAGGATAACAGAATCGTGGGATCATTAAGGTTGGAAAATACCTCGAAGATCAAGTCCAACCATCAAACCAATGCCACCATGACCATTAAACCATGTGTTGAAGTGCCATGCTCACAATTTTTTTTGAACCCCTCCAGGGTTGGTGACTCCACCACCTCGCTGGGCAGCCTGCTCCAGTGCCTCACCACTCTCTCAGAGAAGAAATTCTTCCTGATATCCAACCTAAATGACCCCTGGCACAACTTAAGCCTATTTCCTCTCATCCTATTGCTGGTTACTTGGGAGAAGAGCCCAATACCCATCTCACTCCAACCTCCTTTCAGGGAGTTGAGACTGCAATTAGGTCTTCAAATAGAAATGTATTAAACAGGCCTGATAATTGGAAAGTGCTTGTGTTTTGGAGTAGCAACTGCTGTCACAAGTGCCAAGTGAGAGGCACTGTGACCAGTTTTAAGTGACATGATGACAAAGATACAGCAAATACCTCTTAAAAACGAGGTTTAGAGGTGACCAGACTCGTGCTCTGCATGCAGGCAGATGTTCAGCTGCTGCTGGGTTAGTGTTTTAAAAGCATCAGCACATCTGGAGCAATGCAAAGAGCAGTTGCTGTGAATTAGGTGCGGTGTGGTGCTGGAACTGGCAGTCCTGCGGGCTTCCGGGTTTTATGAGGCAGCAGGGCTGTCTGTGTTCGTGCTCCTGGAAAAAGGGCAAAAACCCAAAAAAAAGTCTTTTTATGACCCTGGAGAGTGGGACGAGCGCCAGGCAGCTGAAAGGCAGCGCCCTGTGCCAGGTTATTTTTACGCACACTCCAATCGTCCCGCTGCATTCCCAGGCCCCCTTGTCCAAGGGGTCAGAGTGTGGGCTCCCTCCAGTTTTTTTTGGGTGCACTACCTGGTGTGACAGCTCACTGCAGGCAGCCTCTCCCACGCATGCTGGGCAGCCTGGAACCACTGCCAGTGCTTTGAGGCAGCCCAAAAAGCTGGGTTTGCTGGCTCTTCCTGGCCCTCACCGCCGTCCACCATCGGATCCGCGCGCGGCCGCTGGCTCTGCGCCCTGGGAAACTCCGAGCCGCCCTTCCTAACTGGCTTCCCTCCTTGTTCTCCCAGGCTGGGACGGGGGGAAATGGCAGCGTCCTCCTCATCCTCTTCAGCCGGCGGCGTCAGCGGCAGCTCGGTAACAGGATCGGGGTTCAGCGTTTCGGACCTGGCGCCGCCCCGAAAAGCTCTCTTCACATATCCCAAAGGAGCTGGGGAGATGCTGGAAGGTGATTGCTCCTGCCCTTCTCCTTCCCCACTCCTCCTGGTGCGCAGGCGGCCCTGAAAGGGAGTGGCCAAGCTTGGCACCCTGATACTTTTTTGGACTTCAGCTGGTGAAAGCTATAGGGAGGAAGGAAACACCAGGGCTCGGGTAGGTCCCGAGGTCTCTCCCACCAGTTGTTCATGAGGACGTGATTTTTCTGGCAGTCACCTGCTTTTTTAGCTCCGTGACAACGCTTCAGACGAGGAAGTGATCTACCTGAAAGGGAACATGACGGTGTTAATTGCTCATTGTTAGCTAATCCTTTGATGTCTGGCAGAAATTACTGTAAAGATAGCTGAGGCAGGAGTATTTTTCTTGGCAAAACACGTTCTGGGGTTGGATTTGATTGGACTAGTACAGGAGGCAGCTTGTATCCCTGCTGGCCAGGAAACACAGGGCTTGCTTTTGCCCCCAGCCCAGGTTAAAACCTCACCACAGAGGTCTGTGAGAGCATAAATTTGGACTAGACCTCACTTTTAATCCTTTGAGGCTGAGCAGGCTCCCCTTTTGGGCTCACTCTTGTCGAGGTGTTTCTCCAGGGCCACCTGGAGAGGGTCAGGGCTCTGATCTCACGTTTGGGTGTTTGAGCCCTGCCACCCTCTTCCTCGGGGTTGCCTGCAGGAGAACCCAGGCGCGTCACCGCGCGTCCCTGCCCCTGCTCTGGGTGAAGGAGGAAGGGCAGGTCCTCCAGATGACAGGGTTTAGCCACGGTCGGTCTGTCTGCTACCCTTGAACTTCCCGTGTCACCGCGCCACACGCTTGACTGTGTGAGCCTGAAGTTTGTCAGCGTGGCTGGGATCGAGGCTCTGGTGTCCCTGTTGCTCAGGAGTGACACTGCAGTGCAGGGCAGCTGGGAACCGATCACTACCTTGTTTAAGGACTGTTTTTATTACACATTAGAGGCCATATGCCAGCCTATTGAAGCAATTATGACTAAAGGCTTGCTCATAGAACTTAACGAGCCCTCAAAACAAATTAAAATAATGAAGCACTTCGTGTTACCAAATAGACAGGCAGCTGTTCCTCCCGAGAGCCGCTCAGCAGGATGGCCGGGCTGGGGAGCTGGAGGAGAGGGAAGGGAATGCGTGGAAAAAACACTGGGCAGCACCAACACGGCATTTCAGCAGCTTGCCAGTGGATGCTCCGAGCACGGCAGAGCTCCAGCTCTTCCCTCTTACCTGGGGTTCAGCTTTGGATTACATTTTCCAGGGCCAGGAGTCTCTTTTTTTTTTCATTGATTCTGCTTTGGGCTGACCAGCAACACAGCAGTCTGCTCTGGGTGGCAGCAACAGCTAGGCACTTCCCCTGTTACAGAAAAGTTTAGGTTAGCTTCTTAATTTCTGAAATAAAAGGTGATACACCCATTCTTTCATCAGATGGGTTCTAGTGGGGTAGCTGCATACCAGTTTCCTCTTCAAAAATCCCCACTAACTGATTGATTTTTTGTTACTTTATTTAAAAACAAGTGAGATAGTAAGACCTGCAGGTATTTGGTTTTTTTTAAGAAGCAAGTTGAACAAACACTGTTGGTGCTTGGCACACAATTAGCTACGTATCCCAGACTGCCTTATTTCTGAGATGCTTCTGTGATTGATTACTGACTTAGATGGCAAGATACACATTATTTGAAATCCTTTATGTGGGCCCATGGTCTAAGCCTGTGGGAAATCATAAAACATGAGAAGGACACAAGTGTCTGAGCCCCGAGGGAATCGGAGGCTGCTGTAATACTACCTGGCTTCTCCTTGGCTTACCTTCTATTTAAAAGAGACTAAAATTGCTTGTCAAAGGGGATGTAAGAGTATCAGCCAGGCTGTCTCCTGGCTAGCAGGGGGTGGCAGGGGCCTGGAACTGGAGCGCTGCACACTCGGCGCAGGGGAAAGCCTCGGAATGAGGCGAGTGGGGAAACCCGCGTCTCACACTTAAAAATAGAAGGTTGCCGGCCCTCGGTTAAAGCTGCTCAGTCTCAGAACTCTCAGATTAAACCACCTCCCTTTTTCTGTTTACAGACGGCTCCGAAAGGTTCCTCTGCGAGTCTGTCTTCAGCTATCAGGTTGCGTCTACATTAAAGCAAGTGAAACACGGTAAGCACCAAAGCGGCGTCTTATTTTAACCGCACGTTGATCGGGGAAGGTGGCAGGGGAGCGGGGAGAAAAGGCTGACACGTTCTCAGGCACCGACCACAAAAAAAGCAGAATAGCCTTTTAAGTTGGCGAATTAACGCCAAGTCAGACCATCACTGAGTCCTTTTGCAAGCCCTATGCAAAGCACCGGGAACCCACAGAGCCTGGGTGGGAACAGGCTGTGCCTTTCGAAGCTTGTTTTTCCATCGCTGCACGCCGCGCTGCCTTGGCGAGAGGTGAGGCCAGAAGAGGAGGTTATGGGCAGGAAACACCCACGCTCTGATCTCTTGGCCCAGCGCTGACTGTCTCTCTGGCCCCAGGCAAGGAGACACTTGATTCCACCTTTGTTCCTCTGCTGAGCCCTTGTGACTCTGGCAGGGTCAGGTGAGGTTTCCAGAGGTGGACATGCAGGTGCCTGGCATGGTGTGATGGGGTTGACTCCACTCCCTGCTTCTCCAAGAACGAGCCTGATGTCTTGTTTGAGCTTCACCTTCCCTCCTGGGGCCTTTGCATGCCACCCAGGTGGCTGTAACTGAACGACGGGCTTGACTGCACAGGCTCCACTGCACTTTCGTTCTCAAGACGTGGGGCAGAGCTCGGCAACAGGCCACGGCTGCTGCTCCACACTCACATCCTCTCTGGTCCCCGCCTCTTGACAGCTCAAATGGGTACTTCCATGTGTTGTCTCAGACCGGAGAGGTTTCCTGTCCTCCGCCAGCGAAGGCTGTTGGGAGGAGGTCTGGGGGCATGCAGCAGCTTGCAAGGCCATGATCCTGTATTTCTGAAGCCAGAAGCAAAGCTGAACTTCCAAGCCGTTGTTTCCATGGCTCCGGAGTTACTGCAGCTGTAGCTGCTGGGGGCTGCTGCACATGCTGCCACCCAGATAAGCACCAGCCTTTGAAACTGGTTTGTAGAGCACCAGACACCTGCCTGTAAGAAAGGCTTAAATAAAGATGGAGGTCATAATTTTTTGGGCTTGTTTGTTTGACAGTTCCCAGAATCACTCGTTTGCAGGAGGTAGAGTGAGAACAATCCCTCTTAAAAGCACCTACTGCTGCAGTCAGCATAAATCATGCACATTTTTTTACACCTTCTACTAGTAAGTCAGCTCATACTGGGCTGTTTTTCCAAGGCCGCCATGCTGTTACACTTCCAGCAGGGCCAAGAGAAGATCTGCTCTCATTTTGTCATTTAATTGAAAATGGAGCCAACAACCAGCTCTAAATAAAGCTGAGAAGATCAAGCTGTCTTGGGGATCCCTGAGGAGGCAGCTCATCCCTCTGCAGGGACCTTTGTGTCCATAGCATGCTCTGGTTGCAAAGCCTTTCTGCCACCATCATCCAGGTCCTCCTCAAAGGACCTCTGCTAACAAGCAAAGTTCCTCCTTCCGTGGGCTGACCAAGCGCTCTCTGAACTTCTCTGTTCTTTTGCACTATAAATATTTATGCTGAAGAAATGAGCTTAATCCTGTTTTCACCTCCATATGCTGATGGGCCTTGTGTTGCCCTGTTAGGACTTGAATTTGCCCAGCACGGGCAGGGCTGAGTAAATACACACTGAGCACCCAACAAGGCATAGAAAGTTGTTCCCTGCTCTCTCCTGTGATCGGGGCTTGCAGGGGCGTCATGCAGAGTGGGTCTGTGTTCAGATGGGCTCTGTGGGTTCTGCTCTATGCCGTTCCCCACTGGCAGCTGGGAATTTGCATCTAATTGAAAGGTTTAATTGTGCTGTCATTGCAAGCCACAGTTACCTTTGTACTTCTTGCAGATCAACAAGTCGCACGGATGGAAAAACTAGCCGGGCTGGTGGAAGAGCTGGAGGCAGATGAGTGGAGGTACAAGCCAATAGAGCAGCTCCTGGGCTTCACTCCCTCCTCAGGCTGAGCGTGTCTGGATTGCTGCTGTCGGGGAGCAGTAAGAAAAACATTCTTTGGCCTGGCTTCAAAACACACCCTCTTTTATCAGGGTGCTGACAGCTGCATCGGCACGGCTGGGCTTTTCGTTTTGTTGACTTGAGAGTGGGGATCACCCATAAAGCTGCCAGTGGATGGAAAAGACAGGATTCTTGAAGCCCTCGGCAGCTCCATTTCTGTAACTTAGATGCTAGGATTGGTTTTGCAGAACTGGGAGAATCACATAATTTACAGAGGAAAGAAGACATTCGGCATGGCGGCAGGGAGAGTGAACCAGTATCTCTGTGTGGCATTTCCCCATCTGCTGCTCAAGTCTGGCCTCTGTAGAGCAGAGGCACCCTGCCAGAAACACTTTCCAGCCCTGGCTGCTGTTTTGGGGGTGAACAGGAAGAAAACTCTTTAGAGGCAGCACATGGTGCTGTTTCTTCGGAGGGACCTCGTGTATCACCAGAGCCATTTCCTTTCTGTCGCCATTTCCCTCGTCCCTGCACAGCAAGTGCTGATGCAGAAGCTGTATCTTCAGTACCCTGAAACTCTTTCTTCTCTTTATTATGTATTAGCTTGCTCTGTGATAATAAAATAATTCTGCTTTTGAATGCGTTTATCTGTTCAAAGGTCGGTGCAGGAGGTCTGATGAAAGAAATAATCGGCTCTTTGGTGGGTAACAGGAGGCTTAAGGAAGCTCAGCTTGGCTATTAGGATGGTCAACTTCAGTTCCATTTAAAAGATAAACCCTTTCGAAAGGAACCAAACCACATTTACTTTATGCTCAAAAGTGGATTGATTTAAATCAGATTTTAATCCTGGCTTAACTCGGCCAGCAGAAAACCCTTATTTAAATCCATCCATTCTAATCATCTTGTTTTTCATTTGTACTGCTCTTGAGGGGAGCTGGATTTCTATTTTGTGCCATAACCATTTCAACATGTTAATTTTCCATTGATTAGAGCCTTAGGACCACGGTTTTGTTAGACAGCAGGGGATAGGCTCTGCACGGTATTTCACCAATTGTACAACTTCATCCTCCAATGCCCAGTTCCTCCATTTTCAACATCTTATTTACGAGATTAGTTTATTTTTATTCGCTGTTTCAGTCCAGCCACATCTGGGTTGAAACAGATTTTAATCCATCCCTGTCTTACTTCTATCACCAGCAATTTGTGTTAGATAAAACTAAAGGGGAAAAAGTTCCGTGTTCGCTTCCGTTTAGGAATTAATTCTAGCCTCAGAGTCAGCTTTTCATGATCCAGAGCCGCCTGCCACCCAAAATCCAGTCCTGATCTGGAGATGCAGCCCCAGCTCCAGCTCCATGCCCGTGAGCTCTGCAGTTCTGAACCCGCATCGGGGAATTCTCACTGACAGCTATGGCTCAGCCAGGACATGTCCTGTGCTGGCTCCCCCCAGCACTGCCTGGAAAACTTTCTCCCAGGGCCTGGAGCGCCGGCAGCCCCTGCTCTGCGGGGCCTCCTGTGTGGTACCGCATTCAACACGACAGCTTGCCATATTAAAACTCCATTATTTTGAAAATAAGGAGCGTTTCCATCGTCAACTTGTTTGTTTGAGTTGCATCGTCTATTTTTAATCCTGCTCACTCCTAGTATATGGCCAAACTCGCCACTGACACCCCTCTATCACGATGACATCATGGGGGTTTAGGAACGGAGCTGCACCTTCTGCCACAGCCCCCGCACCGATTCCCACCCCCCTGCAGACCCTATGGGCAAGAGGCTCTCCCTGAAACTTTTCCACCTGGCCAGCCCTCCAGGAATGGCAGGGGACCCCAACCATGGCAGGGGATCCCAACCATCACCTACATCTCCCTAGCAGCCCATGGGTCTGAAACGTGGTGGGGTTGAGATTTTCCCAGGGGTATCTCGCCCTCCTTTGTTTTCCATCCGTTTCTCAGCAGCGTGGCAGGCTCGTGGCTGGATGGAGCAGGAGCAGGGAACGTCCCAGCTCTGTGCCGTACATGGCTTGTTTGTGTGTGTGCCCTGCACCAAAATAGCCGCATGTCCGAGAGCCACAGGGAGGAAGTGAAAAGTTCAGCCTGTACAGTACTACAAATGCACAAACATGTTGTTGGCTGTTCCCTCCTCCCGCTCAGTAAACACTTTATGACAGGCGGCGAAAACCGGAGGGATCATTGCACAGTAAAATAATAAAAAAAAAACCTCTGTGCTCCTCCGCCAAACTTTTTCTTGGCTGCTGTGAAACTTTTTCCCTGGTTCTGCTTGGCAGCTCTGTAGGGCAGAGCCGACAGTAATGGTTCCTTCGGGGGGTTTGGAAGCATCGCAGGGG